AGAGATTTATAGAGCTTAAGAACTCTCTCTCCTTCCACATCTATACCATGTTTAGAAAGCAAATGGTATCTGGAAGGTGAATATCATCAGCAGTTCTTTCAGGACCATGGGAACCCCTTATTATTTTCTCTTTCAACAAATTAGAAACGTAAGTACCTGTTAATTCATTTGCATTTTAATTAAGGGCCTTTTGTGCTGTTTCCTAAGGAACAAAGGAAACTCCCTTGTATCAATGTAACCCGGGATTATCTTTGTTGATAGGCAGATCCTCCCCAGGGTTTCAGGAGAGTTTCTTCTATCCTACGTGAAAATGAAAAAGATGCCAAGGACTGGGCTCTAGAATAAAGCAGGACTTCCTGGGAACTGGAAGCTTTGAATCCCTAAAAAAATGACACTCTGAAGAAGATATACATACTCAGGAAATTAGCAAATTTGTGATTGGAGGCAAAACCACAAGCATACCAAAATCCAAAAGGTATTCAAAAGGACTAGATCAGATTCAATATCCTTGAATTATTTATCAGTATTAATAGGGCTTCCAGTGTTCCTGTCTACAATGCCACCATCTAGTGGTTTCTGTTGCACATTGTTTTATGCAGGTTTGTACTGAATCATATATAAACCATTTATTGGCTGCAGCCAGAACAGCAGACCAATAAAACATTGTTCTTCCCTTCTGGGAAATAGACCCGACTACAAGTAGAGTAAGCTATCACTGGCAACATCCTCAAGTTTGTATGGACTCTTTGCCCCACAGTCAATCCATCAAATCTTTATTACAGTCAAAGACTAGCATAATTGTTCCACAGTAGTGAAAGCAAGTGCTACCTCATAGTATGTTACTATGGTTTGTTGAATAGCCACAATTGGCAGGGTTGATACACTGGGCTAAGACATAAGTGAATCACTCATGCCAAACAAAGGTCAGCGAACTATATTAGTGAAAAGTATGAACCCTTTCATATGAGAAGTTTTCAGTCTCTCTCTCTTTATATACACAAACACACACTTATACATGCATACAGCTGCTACAGTTGTATAAATGGTGGAGGAAGAAGTAGACTGGGCCCAAGAAATAGAAATAAGCCTAACATGATGGCTGTGTTTGGATATATATAGATATATCTTACTTGTAGTTAATTAAGCCATGGTTTTCTGAATTAAGCCAGTCGCCTGGATTTCAACAATTTACTGAATTAGCCTAAAATATGACTGCCTAGTTTGTGATTCTATGTATTTTACAAATATAGTCAGTATTTATTTTGCATTCAGTAATTTTTAGTTGAACATAAGCAGTGTTTCTGTGCAATGGTACCATTGTTGTT